GCAGGAAACGAAGCTCACTATTCAATAATTAAACAAGGCCAGTTTGTTCATCTGGATGACCTCTGCAATGCTCATATTTTCTCTTGAACACCCTCAAGCACAGGGCCGCTACATTTGTTCCTCTCAGGAAGCCACCATTTTTGATATTGCAAAATTGCTTAGACAAAAATACCCACAATACAACATCCCTACAAAGTAAGCCATTTCTTCTAATCTTTACAAATTTGTTTGAAAGGGTAAATTTTTGTGATGATATATATATATATATATATGGGCGTGTCAGGTTCAAAGATGTGGAGGAAGAGAAACTGGAGAATGTAATATTCAGTTCAAAAAGATTGAAGGAATTGGGTTTTGAATTCAAATACAGCTTAGACCAAATGTTTACTGAAGCTGTTGATACATGCCGAGCCAAGGGTTTGCTTCCCTCTTTCTAATCAAAATTGATGGCAGATGCCTAATACAATCTTATTTATGTATTTTGTTTTATTGTTGGAACAAAGAAATTTTATTTCCATGTCATAAATAATATATTTTGTTTGATTGTTGGATGAATCTTGATGTAAAGATTTGTTTATTTAACGACCACCATCAATTCCAGGTAAACGACAAAATAAGAATTTTAATACGAGTTTCAAATTTTTTTTAATTAATTATTATGATCATCATATTAAATTTTATTTCTATGTTTAAAACTTTTAAATATTTTTTTAAAAAACTAATAAATAAATAAACAAACACTAATGAGTCGAGGGCATCCACGCCAACTCGCACCATATAAAATGCCCCTCTCTCTCTCTCTCTCTCTCTTTAAACCACTTGATACTACTCTCCTCGACTAAATTCCTTCCACCTTCCCTGACTACCGAGGAACAGTCATGGCGGCTATTTCTTGCCAAAATGCAGTTCAATCAAGCAAGCTTCCTCTGTCTTCTTCTTCCTCTTTCTCCGGTAAGAATATTCGCAAATCATCCCGATTTCCCGGTGTATCATTCTTCTCTCCGGCCACTTTCTCGGCTACCGGGCGACGACTCTCCTGCCAGGACTCCTCCACTACCTCACCTTCCGCTTTGGTCGATGTCGAAGGTCTGTATTCTCTTCTCACATTATTAATGTTTTCTGTTATGATCTGGTTTCGTTCTTTTCAACCCTCCCCTTTTTTTCAATTGCGATTCTTTGAATTATTTTGAACTATTTGTGATTTTGGGTTTTAGGTATTTTATTATTTCAATGGTGAGAAAACATAGAATAAGCCTTTCCTGCATGTGTGTGCTCGACTCAGGTTCTAGTGTTCTGCGCGTTTGGTCAAGAAATTTTGGGAATGATTGACAATGTAGGCATTAAGTTTATTTGACTAATCTACGCAAATATTGCTCGATTAGTGCATTTTCTTCATCCGGTTGGAGGCGAAAGAAGTTTTGATTCAAACATTTTTCATATCCTCAAGGACTAATTATATTTTTAGTGATAAAAAGATATAACAAGTTGTCTACCATTACCTTGTTTTTAAGAGATTTAACAGTCCGGAGCATTTATGGTTGCATTTAAAGTAGCCAAAGGAAGTATTTTCATTTCCGTAAGAGCTACAAGAAATAATTTATCCATGTTGTTTACATGGTTTCTGGTTACTCATTCTGACAATAATCATGACCAAAGAAAGTAATTCTTGAATTCTGATGCTGAAACGTGAAAGCACAATTTCTAAATGAACATTGGAGCAGTGCGTCTTCCTCCCCCACAGTGGATTCTTGAAAAAGAACAAAATAATATGCTAGACACTAGCGTAATGTCGTCTTGTTTGTTTGTTTGTTTGCTTTTTGCAGCAAAAAAGGAACTCAAAGATTTTCTGCACATTAGTGATTTTGATAAAGACACCATAATTAAGATCTTAGACAAGGCTGCGGAGGTCAAGGCACTTCTAAACTCGGGAGAGAGAACATTTCTTCCTTTTAAAGGGAAGACCATGGCAATGATTTTTGCAAAGCCATCAATGAGAACACGTGTTTCATTTGAGACTGGATTTTTCTTGCTTGGGGGCCATGCCATATATTTAGGACCTGATGATATCCAGATGGGAAAGCGTGAGGAAACTCGTGATGTTGCTCGTGTTTTATCTCGCTACAATGACATCATTATGGCACGCTTGTTTGCTCATCAGGTATGATGGTGAGTTTTTCATGTTTGTGAGTTGTTTTATCTGCTATTTCACACTGTTTGGCTATGAATGAATTTGATATCTACCCTTTTATATCTTCTACAATTATTAATAGCATTGTGCATGAAGATTGACAATTTTTTTGAAGTAGAACCATTTTTTATATGTATTCTCTTGTGTATTTTCGTTCTGATTAACCCATTTTATTGCTTTTGTAATCTTTAGATCATAGATTTTTTGAGTTTTGACACCTATATATTGCTAGATAGAAATGTCTGGAAGATTTTTAGTTCACGTGTCTCCTGGGAAGATGTCCATGATTCTCACTTTTCTTGTTCGTTTATTTTTTTGTGCTGATTCACTTAGTAACAGTGGTTCAATTGGCCAATTGTCATATGTTGCGTCTTTGTCAAATCTGGTTTTCCCAATTTTCTCTCGAAGTAAAAACTAGAAATGCAATCTACTTTGTTCTGTTTCAGGACATTCTTGATCTGGCTAAGTATGCAACTGTACCTGTCATCAATGGTCTAACAGACTATAACCATCCTTGCCAAATAATGGCCGACGCCCTTACAATTATTGAACACATCGGTCAATTGGAAGGAACTAAGGTAGATTATTATGCAGATTCTAATGGTTGCTGTTTCTGTCTATGTTCTCTATCTGGCTGTGTGATTATAATCTGAACCTGATGCCAACGCAAAATCCAGGTTGTCTACATTGGAGATGGAAATAACATTGTCCACTCTTGGTTGCTTCTGGCATCTGTTATTCCTTTCCATTTTATTTGCGCCTGTCCCAAAGGTTTTGAACCAGGTAAGGAGACAGTTGAAAAGGCAAAACAGGCTGGAATAAGCAAGATTGAGATTACAAATGATCCAAAAGAAGCTGTTAGAGGAGCTGATGTTGTTTACTCAGACGTGTGGGCCAGCATGGGGCAGAAGGAAGAGGCTGCATATCGCCGTCAAGCATTTCAAGGATTTCAGGTTTGTGTTTTGATGTTGATTTCAGACTATATGACATAAAATTTTTTTTTCATGTTTATCTATTCTGAAATCAGTTTTTAGCAATATGTGATTTAAGTGTGTTGTGGCATCTTTCAAGAAAATGATTGCTTTGAAATTCCAAAGACTACTCTAATTAGAAAGTCCCTGGGTACCAGATTGAGAAGTGCATAAGCATAGAGAAATTTCTTTATTTTTGTGTTAATAGTTTAAAGTGTGGTGAAGAAGCATTTTAAACTCATTTCAATGTGCACTATGTATGAATGATAACTATGATAGTTAAGATACTAGGAATATTTAGATTTGAGGATTTATGATGAGTACCAGTTATTCCATTATAGTTGTAGGATCCTGAGAGTTTATTTTCCCTCCAAATCTTGAGGTACTTGAATAAACTCTTCATTTCAAAGTAACTTCAGTATGCATCTAAATTCAAGATGAATTGAATATATGCTGTTTTACTGCAGACTAAATCCAGAATTTGTATGGAATTTATTTGCTAATATACACATATTTTAACCAGAAGATAATGAGCCAAGAACATCTAGCTCAAATGGCATAACATCTAGCTCAAAGTACTGTCTCTACTCCAATCTCAAAAGATAAAAAGGAATATGACGGGAGTGCTACGTAAATGAAAAAATTTTCATATGGAGTTCCATTTGGAATTGAGATGGTAAATTCCAAATTCTTGTTTTAACTCCATGTGGAATTTTTACCTGTTTTCCTAACTAAACTAAGTGTGAATTTGCTAATCAATTTGACATTCTGAATTTGTTACAAAACATAGCATAGATTTGGTTTACCTAATTTAAATGTCAAAATTTGATTTCTAAGTACCTATTGTAATTGAATATGTGTTGCAAAAATGATGAGCTTTGGAATGGTATTGAACAATCATCGTTACATTTTTCCCTCTAGTTATACCTAATTTGGCATCTGGACAAATTTCATCCTGGATGGTTCATTTCTTTTTATTTATTGATTGCCCAAATGCTTTTGCATGCAACAACCTGCAGGTGGATGAAACTCTAATGAAGTTGGCTGGTCCAAAAGCCTATTTTATGCATTGTTTGCCAGCAGAAAGAGGGGTAGAAGTGACCGAAGGCGTAATTGAGGCCTCAAATTCCATTGTCTTTCCTCAAGCTGAGAACCGTATGCATGCACAGAATGCTATAATGCTTCATTTACTGGGCTTTTAATAACCTGGTGACCACCATTTGTTATTGTGGCCAAGTTGCGGTTTTGTAAGAGATCGAAGTCAGTACTTTTGTTTTGTAAGATTTCGCCTTAAATTATTTGTAAAGAAGTACGTTTTATCGTCTCCATTTGGTGTTAGGACTTGTAAACCTTGAGTTACTGTCTCATGTTTAATAAATTGTTAGCTTTTCCGAGATGAGTTATGTAGGCTGTGGAAGCGCCAGTCTTCAGCTTTCTGTCTACAACTATCTTTTCTCACCGAAAGCCTCTCCTTTTATAGGCAAAATCCACACCCAGAAGACTCCAAATCAATTGGCTCCCTTTTCTTCTTCAGATCGCCCTTCCTCTTTCTCAAGTCTTCTTCACGTCTTCTTCCTCTTATCTGCTGCTCTCCTTGCTGCATCGTCTATGAATTGTCTTTATCACTATTCAGTCAAACATCCCTGCTACCTTATTTCTCCTTTTCTGAAAATCCCCCATCCCTCTCTCCGCTCTTCACCGGTGAAGCGAGAAGAAATTTAGAGCCTTCCACGACAACGTTTTTGGGAGGCTTTAAACTGGACCGGGCCAGAAGGAAAAGGAGAAAAAGAAGAAAACGACAATGTTTTCTTTTTTGTTTTAGCCCATTTAAAATGAGTTGGGTTCAAGGATTTTGGGCATCTAATTGGACTGGATTCTGGATTAAAATAAAGTTTTTAAGGGAGTTTTAAATTAAAAAAAGATAAGATTGAAGGACTTGGACTGAGGGAATTGGGGTTACAAAACAAGTAATTACGAGAAACTTTTCGAATAATTTCATGACGTCTTAATTTGTATTTTTAATTCAAAATTTCTTTTAAAAAAAGATTTCTTTTTGCGTTCTTCTATTATATTGTTATATTTTGTTCAAGTTTATGGCACAATTTTAAGTTATTCATACATATCATCACTCAATCAATTCATAATACTATTTATTATTGTTATTATTGTTTCATGTGAATCTTTTTTTATTAATTGAAGTTCTGTATTATAGTTAATTAGATTATTTGTTGTTATTTATTTTAATTTTCTTCTTATCTTATATATTTTTTTCATTATATTAATATACAGATATCCATAAATAATGTCTGTTTTCTCTTTATAATAAAATTATATCTGTATTCGTTAGATCATATTAATTAAATGCATAATTAATCATATTTATAAATTATAGAATAATTAAATTAATTTGAAAAATAATTAATATAATCAATTAAACTTTATTATTAAATACGTAATTAATAGAATAAATAAATTTAAAAATAATTAATGTATATATTTTTATTACTTATTCTATATATGATATATATATATATTATATTATATTTTAAATTTGGAAGAAACAGGAGTGAGAGGTCATAATTAGAAGAGGAGGCATGCATGCAAAATCAAATGTTAGAAACTAAAATCCTAAACAGTCCCGTAGAAGACAAAGCATGGGTTGGTGTCCCTTTTCCTCTTTATTAAAAATTGCTTACTTTTCTTGGAAATCTCTTTCTTTCCCTAGTTTAGGACGGTGTTTGTTTCCTCAGAAAATTTAAATAACCAAAGCATGAATTGTTTCCAAGAAGGCACGGGTGCTCCGCTGATTTCTCCAATGCAATCCCAGTCCCCACTGCCTGTTTCGTTTCCCTTTAGAACATTTACATTCATTTAAATATATTATAACCTATTTTCTTGTGTTGTGTGCTCTAATATATATGCTTATTCATATAACCTTATATAATAATAATATCACCATGTAAACCTCATTTTCCTAAATTGAACAAAATGCAGGCTGAGTTCCTTGAACAAAGCTGGGTTCCTGGATCCAACTGAGTCTTTATAGCTCCCAAAATCTTAGCCCAAATTGACTACTTATTTGTCTTCATTTTCTACAACCCACAATTCTGCAACACAACTTGACTTTGAACTTTCTTGTATATAATTTCCTTTCTTAGCTTCTGTTTATATCCCTACAATCTTCTCAGGGTTTGTCATATTCTTTTTATCAAAATTCAACAACTCTCTCCTATTACACTTATGACTTGGTGAATTTGTTCACTTATTTGGCCAGAAAATTTGTGTCTTAGTTAGTTTTTCGTTTGGATTGAGTAACACACTACTTAGTATTCTTTTATGTTTAGAAAACAAGATCAATATAGTTATATCAATTTAATAATGAATGCCCACAAACAAATATTAATTACTAGACTTGTAGTTTGAATTATAGTGTAGTTATGATATGATATGCCTGCGTGCGTGTGTGTGTGTGTAGAGTAGAATCATAAGCATAAGAAACCAATTAAGTAAATTTATATATGTGTACTATGTAATGTTAACATGTGTTAAGTAGTGGTGTTCACATCACGATTTCAGACGCATTAATACGGTCGAAAAAAGAGGTACAACACAATCCAAAGCTGTCAAAAAAATACATATCTTTTATTTTTAAAGCGTAAATAATGTAGAATTGGGGTAAAGTTATAGTTAATTAATAGGATACGTGGTAAATTATTATTTACTAGTTTGAATATGTATTGTCTACATTTTCGACTATTAACGTTCAGATCTTGAAGGATTTGTGTAAAATAATTAACACTCATGGTGATTATAAAAATCAAACATTTTTTAATCATTATTTAATGAATAAATATTAAAAAATAGTAAAGAAAATTTACTCTATGGAGGACGGTTAGTCAATTATCACCCTTTAATTGTGGGGAAAATGAATATTGAATAGTTTCAAGGCATAAAACTATGTGCACAAAACATATCCTGTGTGTTTAAATAAATATATATACATATATATGTTTTGAAGAATATATGTGTATATATATAGTTAGAGTTCATTGAGGGTTTGGGTAAACCATAAGGGATTGTCGTTTTAAGTCAAAAAGTTAGGGTGAAGCAGTCGAAGTTTTGTTTGTTTGTGGAGGGATAGGTCATAATTAGTAAGAGTCGGGCAAGCATGATTACGTGATTAGATTACCGAGACGTTGATTTTACTTTTTCACTTTTTTGTTTTTTATTTTTATTTTTTTAACAGTGGCGCAGGCAGAGGGTTAAATTAAATATACTTAAAAAAGGCAGGAGGGCCACGTGTTTTACCGTCCTTGTAGTCCTTTATTAACGGTCAAACCTACGCCCTTCAATGTTAATTTCTCTCTCTTCTTTTATGCAACCATCCGCTCCTCAATTCATTCGATAATTACTTAAATGGTCTCCCCATTTCCCCTCTACACGTATCCATTTGTCCACATTTATAATAACTGTGTAGACATATACGTGTGTATATATATATATATATATACGCACACACGCTTGACTCTTTATTCGTGTGTATAGTACATTATTTCGCCTATCAACTACATATTGATATAGTGCATGCACCCATCTATTGTGCATATTGTAATCTCGAAGTTTTAAGTTTATTTGTTCACAAGTTCCTAAATGCTTTAGTTGAGGCAAAAAATGAATGTTGGCGTTTTAGAGGCCAAATCTTTAAGGAATACGTTTACATTTATGAATGAAAATTAGTGAAACACAATTCAAATGTGAAAACTTTTCATGTGCACCTTGAACTTTTTGTCTTATTTGGGAAATTAAAACCACCAACCTAGCTTCCTCAAACAAATCAAAAACTTTATTTTGATCTGAGTTACATAAGATTGAAGCAAATTGTAAATATAGATAAGGTTATCTAGTTGTGTATAAAAGAAAAAAAAAAGAAAGAAAAACTGAATCCCCAAATGGTAAAAGAAAATTATGAGGCCAAGAAGGATAAAAAATTATCTTTAATGAAGGAAAAATCAAGATTAACATAGAAAAGCCAATGCCTTAAAGAGAAAGAGTTAGACAAGGAGCTCTCAGTTAATGGAATTAATTGATCCACACAAAAAATCGAGTCCTCGCACAATCAACTTAACTTAAGATATAAATGATATCTTTATATAGTCGGGAACATATGGAACAACTATCCTTTCAACCAATGTACCTATGAGTTCTAAAAATACTATCTATGAGAACTTCATGAACCACTAGCTACAAAAATGACATCTTTAGATACTCAAATTAAGAATCCATGAAGTTACCATATTGTTATTCTTCATCCACGCACTCACAAGATTTTGATCATCGTTACTAGGCTTCAGTTTTTCTCTGTCAACAAACCCTATATTGTTCTTTAGAGGAGAGCTATTTACATCGTGTAGCTTCACGATGCATAATTAATGACCGAGACACTAACATCAAACCAGGGTTATTCTAGTGATGCAAGAAAAATGGACCCATAGAATTGTCGATGGCTGATTTACCAGGTTGTGGGGATGACCTCGAATCTCAAGATTCATAGTCGAGATGTCAAAGAAGAAAAACAACGAAATTGATTGAAGAAAGGGCTACAAAGAATACAAGAACGAGCAAACAAGAAAAGCTCTGGATTTCAGCAAATTCCACTATTACGCTTTGATACCATATCGCGAGTGAAGAAAAACTTGAGAATTTTGAAAAGAAAATTCTATATTTTTTATTAATTATTTAATATAATTTGTATAGAGTTTATATACATGTAATAAACCCACGATTACAAGATTGGTTAGGTTACAATACCAATTACAAGCATGGTTAACACGGTTGGTTTAGTTGGGATAATTGGATTAATGTTGAGTAAGTTAAATTTAATAAGATAGTAGGGTAAAAATTGAGTTAGTTAAATTAATGCAAAAATATATTAATTTAACTAACTTTTTAACAATATTTAAAGATTTTTCACTACGTAGCTACTATCTAGGTTATATAAAAATAAAAGAACAAGACACGTAGGTAGATGGACAGAGATTCTTAGGGGTTGGCTATGTGTGATTTTAACATATGTAAGGCTACTATTCTGGGTTTGTGGGTTAAATATAATATAATATATTATATATATATATATAATATATTTAAATGGAGAGTAATGTAAAGTGTCAGTGGTGCATGCATTATTGTTATCATGTGGAGAGAAAATCTGAAAGAGAGCCCGCTTCAAGCGGGGGAGCAGTTTGATGATTAGGAGTTAGAGATAATATTAAAATATTAGAATGAATGGATGGAATGTGAGAAAGTTATGGGTTTTTGTAGGCGGACACTGAGCTCTCTCATCTCTTCTTCAATTCATACCTATACATTCATACATATACATACATATATATATATGTA